CACATTTTCTTTAGGAGACCCAAACCAAACAACAACACTCACGTTTTGTCACCTTGGACTCTGTCAAAAAATAAATTGTTTTTTGCTTTTCCAAAAAAAAAAAAAATCAATCAATTCGCGTCTGTCCTACCAAAAAAAAAAACCAATAGGATAAATAATTAATTTGTACGCGTCGATCAAATAACAAACTTTTTTTTTGTAAAAATGTCTTCTGGAAACTGTAAAAGGCAACAATTAAAGGTCGCTGGTGAGCATTATGACGTTGGTGAGCATTATGAGTAAGTGTTTATCATAAGGATGGTGGTGGTGGTTATCGCCCGCCACTCGTCGTCACTCTAGCTATTTATTTTATTTATTTGTTTATTTATTTATTTATTATTATATTAGCAAATCTCATCTTTTACCACCAAAACCACCAAAGTATATTTTTAACGAGTATGTCGATGAATTTAGTAAATATTTCAGCAGAAGAAAACAGTTGGCACTTTTCCCAAATATGCCCCTTGAAATATTCTTCCATGTTTGTGAAGATTTACCACCATCTGATTTGTTGGCACTGATGCAAACGTGTTCAAGATTCCATTATGTCTTAATGGATGTTGGAAACCAACAAATTTGGAAAAAAGCAAGAACAGCTTATTTTGAAGGACTGCAACGACCTCCCCCACAAACATGGACTGAATTACAGTATATTAGGTTCTTCCTTACTTCATCTCGATCCTGCACATTTTGTGGTTTTATTAGATCAACTCAAATACATTGGCAGTTTCGTGTAAGATGCTGTACTAAATGTTACTATGAAAGAACCATTATAAGAGAGTAAGTAATTATATAAAGTTTAATTGATTAAATAATCATATTTATTCATTTATTTATTTAACAATTTCAGAGAAAAGACTATTAGAGGTGATGATTTCTTTATAGGATTACCTTATTTATTTAAGAAAAGTATGGAGGAGATACATTTCTGGCAAAAAGATATTATTGAGAAAGATTATTATGTTAGTGAACATGGATTAAAACCTGTTGAAACTTATGATGAGGAAGGTAAAAAACTGCTTGAGGTTCAAAAAAAATTCATGGAAGAATGTGAGGATCGCAATAAAGAATGCAATTTGTATATGAAAAAATCAAAAATATTTATTGAGGAAATCAACAAACTTGTTGATAAAATTATTGAGGAGGGGAAATTAACATTAAAATACAGATATTATGATATCCGATATTGTTTTGCTTCATACAAAAGAGCGATTTTCCATTTTGCTGAGGTTAAGGAACAACCTTCAAAAGAATACTGGGAAAGATTAAAAAATCAAATAATCTATGAAGCAGAAAAGCCACACCGACAGAGACTTATATTGGAATACTTGTTAAAAAATTGGCCTTGCCTTGGACCTAATAAACAAGTTGCTAAAACATTCTCTGAAAAGATAGCTAATCCTCTCAGATACTCTAAAGTTGATCTTTATATGATTCTTCAAAATTGTCGTAGTTATAGGGACCCACCAATATATCAAGGTGATGCCTACACTATTTATTCCGAGAGTTACCTTAAAGATCAAGTAGTACCAGTGTTAGAAGAAGAGGCAAAAAAGCTAATTTTATTTGGTGATTATGATAAATGCAAACATAGTAGACCTATTGAACACAAAAGAAAACTTTTGGTTTATGAAATTGATTATTAGTTCAAGGTCTTTTTTTTTTATGTCTATTACTATCATTAATTCCTTCTGAAGTCTATCAGAATGAATGGAGATCTGTTAAATCTTATTATAAAAAAATTACTCATGTGTAAAAAAAAAATTAGTATTTTTATTATTATTAGAACAAATAATGCATAATATGTATATATATATATATATATATATTAATTAAATTATAAATAAAAAATTAAATTTCCTTTTGCATGATTTCAATCCCTTCAATTAATTGGTTTCTCTTGTTATTAATAATAATTCTTTTTTTTATTACTAATTCATGGAAAAAAATAAATAATATATGTATAAAAACCATTATATAAATAATTTTTAAAAATCATAAGGTTTTCCCTATGTTATCAATATAAAATCATCCTCAGTAAAACCTAGATTTTTTAACGATTTCTCAACTACATTTATCATACCAGGTTGTCCACAAACAATTATTTTACTGTTAGGATCAAGTTTAGGTTTTTTCTTATCATTGGCACTACTACTACTATGCGTTTCACTAAATTGACTATCAATTTCAGAATCATCATTTATATTGACAGGTGGTGATGGATTTTGACTTGAATCAACTAATGCACTATTAAATATATGAGGATTTAATGGTTGTTGTGGCGATAAAATTGTTGAATAGTGTTGGAACTGTGGTTGTCGATGTTGTTGTGATGATGATGTTCTATAATGTCGACTATAATTATGACTTAAAGCACTTTCGGGATTAATTGATGTTCTATAAACATTATTGGCTGGTGATAATATTTTACGAGGTTTTGTATGAAGTGGTATTGATGGTGGTAGATTATCATTATCATTGTCATTATTATTTGGAGGAGGAATTGTACTAACTGATGAATATACTGTAGTGTTGCTATCGTTAGGATTACTAACTGTTGATAAATTTGTTGTATTCGTTGTATTGTTACCATCATTAAATTGTGTAATATTTGACCTCTTATTTTTATTAGTTAATGAGCTAACATATGACAAAGGAGTATCAAGTCGTAATGAACTTCTACTAACTATTGGTGAATTTGTTGTATTCATTGTATTGTTATCATCAATAAATTGTATATAATTTGGCTTCTTATTTTTGTCAGTTAATGAAGCAACATATGATAAAGGAGTATTAGTTCGTGATGGACTTTTACTAGCTATTGGTGAATTTGCTGTATTCATTGTATTGTTATCATCAATAAATTGTACAGAATTTGGCTTCTTATTTTTATCAGTGGATGAAGCAACATATGATGGATGTTTTTTATATGGTGGTAGACTAGTAGGATTAGTTGGAAAATTTGGACTAGTAGGAGAGCTTGGTACAGTTATATTATTGTTGTCGTTGATGATTTCATAATCGTTGCTGCTATTGTTATTATTGACAATCAAGTTACTTGCCTTTGAATTTAACCAATCTAAAATCATTTCTTGATCAATTTCGCCACTTTTCCCCTTCCAATCTTGAATTTGTTCATCTAGTGCATATGTTATAGTTAGCATACCCCTACTACTCATTTCATACTCTTCTAGTTCTACACCATTGATTATATCCTCTATTTTCTTATTACCATATAACAAATGCATTGTTACTTCTTTATTACGCATTGTTGATGCATGGCTACGTCTCATACATAATTCCAAATGGTATGTTATCAACTATTTTATTATAATAATAATAATTATAAGTAATGAAAACAATGAATTTGAATTTTTACAATAAAAATCTTACTTGTAACATTGGTGCAATTCCAGTACCACCACAAATCATGTATAATTCTTTCCAATGACCATCATGAGTATTAGGATTAAGTAAAGAACTTGTTGATGAAGATATAAATGGTATATTTTTTTTTGAATATAAACTTGATTTTCTATATAATGATGTTATATCAGCAGCTTGGGATATTGATGATGTTTCCAAAACTTCTCTATCTCCAACATCAAATGGTCCTCTCACTTGAATCTCATATCCTTTTAATTGTTCATTCTAAAGCGTAATTATTAAGCAGTCAAACAATTAATTAATTAATGACTAATGAATTTTAATAATAGCACTAGTTATATAATTATAAATTGTTACAAGGGACTTACCAAATGTCGTGACATTAACCCATCTGGATACACTTTAACAAAAATACTGAAACTTTGAACAATATTGCCTTCTATTGGTGTGTAACTTCTAATTACCACTTGTCCTTTAATTCTTGATTGCACTTCAATATAATGTCCTGGCAAGAATTTCAATTTATGATGACGACTTTTATAACCGTCTATATTTTGATGTACTATTGTGAATGTGAATTTCATCACTGGAAATTCTTTACTGGCATTTACAGGTACTTTAGATGTCAATTTGTATCTGCGAAACATTATTCTAAATGCTGTGTCTTGTTTAGCAATTTCCTCATCACTTAATCCTCCATCAGCTACATTTGTTGGTCCAAATATTGGTGCAGATGATAACTCAACATCTGAGCTATTTTTTAATTTTGCCACAACCATTGTTGCTATTTTTTTGATTGCAAATAAACTATGTGGGTGAATAGCCAAAGGTGCCTTTAAAAAATATTTAATATTCATATCATCAACAACTTGTGCAACTGAATTTTTTTGAGTTGTGTATTTCTTGGTTCTCTCATGTAAAATATTTGTATATTGCCCTAAAACTGATTCATTTGCTGTTGAATTTCCAGTGCTTTTTATTTCTGGTAAATCAATATGCTCAATAATCTCTTTACCTTTATAACCAAAAAAATCATTTGTTATGTCTGTTCCAATGACTCTCTCAAGAATTTTTGCTCCACCAGGATGTACCCTAATCCATTTTCTCATATTAACAATAAACCCATCACAAACTACTAAATATGCTCCACGTTGAACACGTTCATTAACTTCTCTCCATGTAAATTCTGGTAATTTATCAAGATCTTTGGTAATATGCAATGAAAGAATGGATTTTTTTTCTTTTTTATTTTGATTTTCTTTTTCAAAATTCAACTGGATGTATTTCCATTTCCAAGTTCCTCTCCAATTCCACCAATATTCACCAAACATAAATGCTACTATCAATACACCAATCCATGCAAGATATGCAATCTTATAATATAATGATTCAACTCCATAAGATAAAGAATATGTCTCAATTCCCAAATATACATTTACCCATGCAGATAATATTAAAGAAATTCCAAAAAATCTGTGAATTCTTTTAACAAATCTAGGATACCCCTGATTAACTGAAACTATTGCCTCTTGACCCCAAATTGATATTAGACCTAATCCAAGTTCAATAAACAACAAAATATATATTGACAGTCCCAACAATGAATGATTTGTTTTTATACTCAATGTTGCCATAGCTGCTGCACCAAAACCAACAATACAAATACTACCAAACAATTGTACAAATCGATGTATCTTGATGTAATTATTGGTGTGTTTGTAATATCTTACAATGTAAATAGAAGCAGGGAATAGAACACTATTATGGAAATGGAAATTAATAATTTTTATGATGTGAGATGTGAGACAAATAAATATCTTTAATATTTGATATATATATATAACATCAATATCCTACCACCAACTTAAGAACATTCCAAGTCCATGAGCTAATTTCACATATCTTAGACCATTAGATGGTGATAATAATATATAATTGTAAAAATTAATCTGCATAATTTGACGATTATTTTGATGATATGAAAATACAGAGCTTGTAGGGTTATAAGCCAAAACATCTAAAAATAAATGGATATTATTGTTATTATAGAGAAAAACTAGCTTGCAAAATTATCAATTAACAAATAAAATTACATTTCATAAGTCCATTTCTAATTGGTTTTCTTCCACTAGGTTCTAAAGGTCTTGAGAATTCAATAATTGCAAAATTGTCATTGGCAGGGGGAGTGAATTTAATAATTTGTAAATCTGAATCATCACCAACATACATAGGAGGGTTGTAACCAGTTGAATCATAATTTGATAAAGATGATATATTTCCATTAGAAATCTAAATAAACAAAAATTATGATGTTATATTTTTATGTTTTATGTTTAACTTTACAGCAATTGTTTTTTTAAAAAATAAACTTACAATTCCAACTATAAATTCTGCATTACTCATACCATCATCATCAGGATCAAATCCCTATTTTATTATTTAAATAAATAAATATATTTATAATTTTATCACCATCATTGTCATAATCATGATGACATTATCAACTAAATATCCAACTCACCATTCCAAACCATGCATTGCCACCTGTAGTAAGTATTTGAACTTGGAAGTTAATATCATTTCCAACAATTTCATAACCAACAATATATGCTGTTGGCCATAAAGCAATACGATTAAGGTATTTTAATTGTGTGTCAGCCAATTTCTGTGGTGGTTGGACTGACCAAATACTTTGTGGGATTGCTGGTTGAAAAATAGCTGCTAAATTACGCATAATAATATCTCTAAATGTCGTATTTCTAATTATGGCTCTGTCTTCATCAGTAAACAAGCCATTATCTTTATTCTCCCACCAAAATCTATCTGAATCTCTAATATTAATAAACTGCAAATAAACAAATGATTGAAAAATATTAGATTAATAATAATAAGTAATAAGTAATAATAATAATAATAAATATAAATTTTTATGTCATTCACCTGAGTGATCATACTAATGTTCATCAATTCACCAAAATTTGATCCATTCAAATGATCTTCAGCCATTGCTCCAACCAAAGCTTCCAGTTGATCAACTCCATTAGGGTATAATTGTTGTAGATTATCTTGTATTTCTTTAACTGAAGTTATATCTGCCCATGAATCTTTTTTTTTTAAACCATATGCCTGACGAACATTATTATATAATGAAATTCCTACATATTAATATAAAGTTTTTTTAAAAAATTTTATTTATTTCATATAAATACACACAACGCACACACATACAAATCCATACCTCTGTCTCTAGCTCTTAAAACATCAAATGCTGGGAGATCATAAGCGTTTAGGTCAAGTGATTTAACATTTCTTGATGCATCAGAATAATATATATCAACATCTTCTTGACGTTGCAAAGACATTGACCTTAACAATCTTGCTGCACCAAATTTTTCTAGTAAACCCATCTTCATAGTATTTTGTAATGATAATTCCACAATTGTACCATCATAATCATCATGAATTTGATAAAAATCACTCAGCTCACTATGACCATATCTGAATGTTATTGTTGAAAAAAATACATCAATTCCTGGAGTTAGATCTGGATTGTATTTTTGATATGGTGGCAGTGGTTTACCCGTTACAACACCAAGATATTCTTCAATAACAACTTTTTGATAAAATGCAATATTCCATTTCATCTAATTAAAAAAAATTTATTTGTTAATTATTATTATCATCATCTCAATTACTAGCATTATTGATATAAAAACCTACAGCCTCTTCATAATATTGAGTGTCATTCCATGTATCACCATTTTTTTCATAAAAATAATCACATAATCTATTATGTTCACGTAACCAAATAGTCTGAATTGCCATTGTAAAAATATTATTTGATCGTTTGGAAGTGGGTCCAGTAACATATAGTCCTGTTGTTTGATCCTTAAATGGGTAAGGGTCATATGCATTTCCACTGGTTTTTAATTTTCCTCCAGTGCCCTCGCGAAGATTTTTTTCATCTTCAGCAGTGATACCATAAATAGCACTCAAGTCCAGAAAAGGAGTTACACCATTATAACCAGTACGTTTGGGTTTTTGTGTAGCAGTAGGAAGAAAATCTGAACGATTAAAAGGAAGAGCCTTTGAATTACTTAATTGACCTGGTAATGTTGTTACAGAATTATACGTATTATATGTTTCGTCATCAGATGGTATATATAATTTAAGACTTGGTTGAGTTTGACTTTTTGAACTACTAATATCAAAACTAACAAATTGAGCAAAGAAAGTAGTCTAGAAAGAAAAAATCAAAACAAAAAATTAATTAATTCAAAAAAAACAAAACAAAAAAAACCAAATTAAGAAAGTAAATAAGCAATTGTTAAAAAAAATTTATTTACCAAATGACTAGTTTGCCTTTTAGATCGATAACCCATTGCCTTTTGTATATCAAACTGATCTAAACGATAATTATTTATAATATTAGAGACACATCTTGGCATTGGATAAGTATCAGCTGAGAGTGGATCAGTACACTTGGGTATTGGTTGTGTTGGGTCAGTGTCAACAATATCAGAAGGAGTTTTTATCATCGAATCTCCATCTGGACTAATATTATTTATGAAAGAAAATAATCAAATCATTAATTAACTATTACTAAATGATTTGATAACTAAAATGATACAATTACCCAAAAAAAGGTTCAGGTGGATATTCCATTTGAAAGTTTTGTTTTGGAGTACCAGGAGTTGGATTATATAAATTATTATCACTACCATCTCTAAGTCGAGATTCCACTTCACATGATAACAATAAAAATATTATGAATAATAACTGCAGGAAATGAATTAACGAATTTCCTTTTTCTTTCCCTCTTTGATGATTATATAACATCTTATTTTTGAACAAATAATCTTGCTTTTTAAAATAATCGAAAGAATAGATTTTATTAATTTTATTATATAATAATATTTTTTTTTTAATTTTTCGTTAGATCATTATAATAATTGGGAAAAAATTCATAAAAATGTAAATTTTTTGTGAAGTTTGAATTTCACAAATATTTACAGGTTTGATACTTGCAAAACAAGTTTTTTCATGAAACTAACTTTCAATGGACATATATAAAAAAGGCGAACTTATACAAATTTCTTATCAATCAATGTTATATAATATTACCCCACTCTATTATTAATCTTACCATTGTTTATCAAGAAAATCTTCCCAAAAAGAAATTTAATATTAAATTTTTTCCCAAGATAAAATTCTTTACAGTCAATTTTTGAATGTAACAAATACTACAACATAGTAACCGCATGTTCATCAATTATTTAAGTTATCCAACAACATAGTAGTTATGCTCTTTTAAAAAGAAGTATTTTGGCATTAATCCATCGATAAAGTTATATATAGTGTAACAGGGGAATTTTATTCGATAATAAAAAGTATTGACTCACTTGATGATACGCCAAAATAATCGAATAAACGGGTAATACAAATACTCGTTTTTTTACTAAGCAAATCGATGTTGTGTATTAGCGAGAAAATGTTTGTTGAAATGATTACCATAGCACTCTAAAATATCACATTGGGCCGATTGTTATTGATAATTATATGATGTTTAAAAGTCAAATTAAAATTTTTCGAA